CGGGGATGGTGAGCTATCGTCCCCTGAATTTTAAGGACGCAACCCCGCGTTATGGACGCTTTGTTTCGGGAAAAACCATGTGCGTCCTTAAAGGGGGATCGACTGTTCGCCAACAGAATTGCCACATCGTATGCACAGCACACGAGGCATCATATGCTTCCACTTCACCGTGTACTGCCCGAACCCACAATCAACCATCAAAACCCGGTTGCAAGCGAGGACTCGCGCACACCGTATTGTTTTCACACGGAACCGACCCGGCCTTGGTCGATACGGACTAAGAACTGAATACGCACGCACCAGCTGTCAAAAACACAACAGGGCGAGTCGGAAAGGTTCGAGGGCGAAGAACAACAAGGTCGCTGACCTTTCCCCCGCCCGCCCCCCCATAATACGGCAACGGATATATCGTAGTAACGGAAATCATGCATGTAGCAACCCAAGGGGCAACACCACCGGCTTCCGGTAAGGGGGCCAACGCCTGGCTCCGGACAGAAACAACAGCCACCGCCGCAGCAGTGCAAGTACAGCAACATTTCCGCAGCGGGTAGCACCATTGCAACACCGGAAGTAGCAAACTTCGCAGCAGCGGAAGTAGCACACTTTGCAGCAGCGGCAGTAGCAGGACCGCAGCAGCGGCAGTAGCGCGACCGCAGCAGTGCAAGTAACACGATCAGGGGCAGCGCGGCGGCAGCAGCAGCAGCAGTAGCAGCAGAAGGGTAGAACGGCGGCCCTGGCGACCACAACAACTACGACCACGCGCAGCGCGGCAACCCGCAGACATGGACAGATCAAGCGAAGAGCAGGGGGTAAGGAAGGAAGGAAGGCTACCAGTCCCCGCCATATCCGCCCGTGTCCGCGAGCACGTCTCTCTGCGCGCCGGCCTTCTGGCTGGCGGTCTTGTCGATCTTGGGGCAGTTGGTGATGCGGTGGCCGAGACCACCGCAGAACGCGCAGCCCTTGACGCCGTCCACCTGAGGGTGTGAAACAGCGACAATAGAAGGGAGACTATGAACAATCGACCAATTACATGCGCAATCTACGCCTCTTCTCTTGCCTCCTGATCAAAGCGAACAACGCCAAGTATTGACACTCTGGTGTCACAATCGCCCTGCAACAAGGCAACACCTTAGGGATATATCCTGCGGTGTAGCAAAAATACAATGGGACTTCAACTGATTCCTCGCTTCACGATGAAAAAAAACATACAGGTACCTCTGAAAAGTTAACCCACCCCTTATGCGCTGCGTACCGCTGATCCCACTGCTGTTCCGGAACGAACAACACCAACGTTGCACACTTCAAGCTAACCCTTGCCGCGAATGCCATAACCACTACCAACCATCCGCCACAAACAAGAAGCGCGTCGTTTGGCTACATACCTCGTCCATCTCCTGGTCGGGGTCTTCCAGAGCCATGAGGACGGGAGGCACCCGCTGCTGGGCCTCCATGAGAAGGTGCTTCAGATCCAGCAACGCCGACTCTTCCACCATCTGCCGTGATCGAAAAGACGCATTGATCATGAAAATAGTTAGGTTTCGGCATCATGCTGGCCCGAAAAACCACGGGTGTGGGATATTGGGGGTGGTACCTTTTGGGGGGGTGTTATCTTGTGTGCAATACGGTAGCGTCCACTTCCATGGAAAGATAAACACGTAGCCCGTGCCACAGCTTGCCTTGTTGATGAAAGTTGTTGCCACCCCGGTCTTCCCGCAGCGACCCGTCCGACCGATCCTGTGCACGTAGTTCTCGATCTCGTCGGGCATGTCGAAGTTGATCACGTGCTGGATGTCGGGGAAGTCCAGACCCTTGGCGGCGATGTCGGTGGCGATCAACACGTCCTTGACGCCCTCCTGCGGTGACACAAAAACGCACGCAAACGGGGTGCACATGTGAGTCTCGATAATATTTGGTGTACTCTTTGTGTGCGGGTAGACCGTCGAGGTCAGCACGTGCCTGGACCCTTCGTGTGATGGGCAAAGGACGCAAGGCTGCCGAATGATTCGATCAATGTCATTTTTGGATTGTGCACGGCCGCATGTAACCTGCGTACAGTAGGGGTCTCTAGATACGACTGCACGTGCCAAGGGATTTGGTCGGCCTTACATCGGGCACCCGGGAAGACTACTCATACCGTGAGACAACGTGAGCATTCCATCTGCATGACACGATTTCACCTGCCTTTCCCAGGCGTACCGTCCTATTTAGTGATATGCGGGCTGAAACGGTGACCACTACTGTTGTATCATGTTGAACAACCCAAGCACGATCCTATGCAGCTATTTAGAGAGAGCCTATGTCGTGTTCCTCAAACCAAGGGACAAACACGCGCCAACACGGCTAATCTATCCACCATGATTGGGTAAGTGTGATGAACGAACGTGCGCTCTATGTCCAGCCGACAGCGTAGGCAACAAAACAAAAAAAATACGTAAGGTGGCTGTCTCGGTTTAGGGAGCCCCTGTTTAGCGACATGCTCTGAATAGCGACCACAACACTACGAGGCACTGCCGCAACTCGGTAGTTAAATTGCAACTACTTCTTGCTTGTTCGATTTAGCGACCTGCCCTGAACAGCGGCCACATGCCGTCGTGACACTAGGGGCCGCTAAACCGGGCCCCCCACTGTACCTTGAAGAGTTTGATGGCTTCATTTCGCTCCTCCTGCTCTTTGCCACCGTGGATGGACACGGCGTCCACTCCCTTCAGCAGCAGATACTCGTGGATGTCGTCCACATCCTGCAAGTCGTATGTTTTGAAACGTATACAATTCGCGGAATAATTAATTGAATATGCAACTAGAGATATGTCCTAACACTCACCGCGGCCACCCCTTCAAGGAACAATTCCAAACAATTCTGCGCGAGCATAGCATCCAAATCCCACGCACGTATGTACGCACGGCCGACGCGATGCTCTCGCAACAATTCTGGACACATTACTGCTGCGGAAAATAAAGAGCCCCTTGCTTTACCCGAGGCTCATTTCGGATTCCTCTCTGGGTATCCCAACATCGACTCTATAGGGAAATAGTGTAGGATTCTTCTCTGAACATCTGTTGTGAATGGTGACTTCAAAATGTTAATCGTTTTTCAGCTTGCATTTCTTCACTCCCCCCCCCCCCGTATGGTTAAGCACCCTCGAGGCAGTTACACAGTGCTTACAACTGTCTCTGGAAGTGAAAGCACCAGAAAATAAAGTAATTCATACGCAGCTGTCATCCGTACGCAAGGAAGTAAGCACAAGATGCCGAACACCCTTAGCAGGATGCAGCGCACCCTTCATGCGACTCGCCGA